ACACAGCCATTGTTCTGAGAAGGGAAAACAGATGAGATCTTCCGGGCAAACTGGGGTGGGGTGGAGTAGTAAAGGGGAGGGTTTGGGGATGAGAATATGAGGGAATGGAATGGTTGAGTTGGGGGAGGGACAGAGTAGGAGAAAAATGAAAGAGATATCTCAATAGAGGGAGTCATTAAAGGGCTAAGGAAAAATCTGATCCTAGGGAAATTCTCCAGAATCCACAAGGATGACCCCAGCTAAGACTCCTAGCAATAGTGGAGAGGGTGCCTGAACTAGCTTTCCCTTGTAATCTGATTGGTAATTACCCTAACTGTCATCAGAGAACCTTCAACAAGTAACTGATGGAAGCAGATGCAGAGATCCACATTCAAGCACCATGCCGAGCTTCGGGAGTCCAGTTAGAGAGAGAAGAGAATTTATATGGTCAAGAGGTGTCAAGATCGTGATAGGGAAACTCACAGAGACAATTGACCCAAACTTTTGGGAGCTCACAGACTCTAGATCAATAGCTGGGGAGTCTACGTGGAACTAAACTAAGCCCTTTACATGTGGGTGACAGTTTTGTAGCCAGGCCTGTTTGTGGGACTCCTCACAGTGGGACCAGGATCTATTCCTGTTACATGATCTGATTTGTTGAATCCCATTCCATATGGTGGGATGCCTCACTCAGCCTTGATGCATGGGAGATGGGCTTGATCCTGCCTTAACTGAATATACCAGGCTTTGTTGACTCTCCAAGGGAGGTCTTATCCTTTCTGAGGAGTTATTGGGGGTGGGTTGGGGGAGATGCAGGGGAGCAGGAATTGGGGAGGAAGGAGAAACTGCGATTGGTATATAAAATAAATAAGAATAAATATATACAAATAAAAACAAAAACTATGTCATTAGGAGTTGTTTTATTGCCATGTTTCTTTAGCAGAGCAATAGCAATAGGTTTTCCAGTAGGGCCTGCAACCTATCTAGTCTCCTATTATTGGCTATTTAGCTGTGTCAAATATGGGTTTCATTCAGTGAAGTGGGTCTTAAATCCAATCAAAAAGTGGTTGGTTACTTCCATAACATTTGTGCCTCCAGTATATCTTGCACACAGGTCACACTGTAGATCATAGGGTTTGTAACTGGGTGACATTGATGATTGCCTTTTTCCTCTGAGAGCAGCAAAAGTGACTTCCAGTTCCACAGGATAATCTGGGAAGAGTTTATGGAGTAGGAAATCATGATTAAAATACATTATACGAAAATAAATTTTAATGAAAATTTAAGATAATTTTTGTTTATTTTAGGCAACATTTCTTCAAAAGATTTAGTTTGCAAATTAAGACTATGGGTTGATAGAGCCATAATAATTTATTCATTTATAAGTGTCTATAATTCTAGGCAAGCTTACTAGTATTAACAAAAAGAAAACATAACAATACACCAAATAACAAAAACTTTTAGTTTCTTAGTGCAAATAAAGTTATGTTTACAGTGAACTGGAGTTTGTTTTTTTTGTGCAATAGCCTAGAAACAATGTATACCCCTTAATTAAAAAGCCTTTTATTGCTAAAGATATTACAATCAATCATCAGAACCCACAGGGTTGTAACCTTTTAATTGTGCAGATTATTTCAGGATGTTGCAACTTCTGATTGATCACAATGGTAGCTGTTAAATGATAGAAATCACTGTGGCATTTTCTCAAAATTGATTGACTTTTTATTTAAAAAAAATCCATGTAGTGAGAGACAATGTTTGATAACATTTATAAGCTGCTATATTTTTATTAATATAATGCATCAACAGCACCTGTTATAGTCAAGAAACCAAATTTAAGGAATGAAGAACATAAACTGTTGCTAGCCCCTAAGAGAAAACTTATATACCTTCAGTTAAAATCTGTGTTGCTATTTTGATCGCTTTCCATGAACCTTAGGTATCCACATCAGAGAGTCAATATTGATCAGGGCTACAGCCTTACAAATGGATTAATTAAATAATAAGATTTGGATGACCAAAAGACACTCTGATGCATGGGCTGTAGAACAGATGTTACCAGTGGCTTAGATACTGCATTACTTTAATCCACCTCTGTCAGAACTCTTGGATGACAAACTGCAATGCCCATGACCACTGATATTTTGAAAGGAATGTTTTGAAACAGTAGGACTCAATATGGGCATCAAACACTCACTGAACCGTGTTGTAAATGGGTGTCCTGCCATCCAGGAATGATGATACTTTAGTGTAATCTTAAGGAATCTAGGATTTTCAAGACAACAAAGACATCTACTGTTTAGTCACTTTAGCCACTAACTACTTTGACTCTTAATAAGAGAATCAATCTGTCCTTTGAAGTTTGAAATTAAACCTTAACTTCTCCATACAAGTTGCACAAGTCCTAGGCAGCTTCCTCTAATCTTAGGCAATCTCACTCACATTGAGAAGCTGTTGTTCACTCAAACAACATTCTTTGACGTCTCAGCTGTATATTCTGTATCATGTGTTATAGCTTCTATTTTACCACCTGCTGTTTCCTCTGTATCTCTATACACAGGGCAGTTAGACTCTTCCTATTGCATTCCTTCTGGCCAGCTCTCACTTACTACCAGCCCCAAGGCCAGAGCAGGGCTGAACAGATGCCAGCTGACCACCACTCCACCACTCCCATGACTAGCCTTGGTGCAATTTAATCAACTAAGCACCACACTAGCAACATGGGATGTCTTCATTCTAAGGTCATTTGTCATAGCAACATTTTTCTATACAAAGGACAAGATCAAAAGAATAAAAGAACCAACTGTCTATTCAGAATATCCTATACCAATTTCAGTCTCAGGGACACATGTCAGACCAGGCCTTCTCTGTCCTAAACTGAATTTGGTTCAGCCCACAGAGTGCCAAGCTTAAAATGTTTATACACATGGAGAGAACAAGTATAGAGAGCAGATAAAGTCCCAAATGAATGAAGTCCTGAGTTAATGTGTATTTTGACATTAACACACCTATTTTGTGGATTTTCCCGGGCCTTGGACATATGGAATAATCCAGAAAGTATTACACATATGGGCCAACTCAAGAAAATGGCAAAGTGTTTCTTGGGAGTCCATTTAAGAGTGTTTATTAGCAATTGATAAGTATGCAAAGACTGGCAACAACATCTTGCATAACTCTGATGTTTACAGCCTGAGATTGCTCTACCACAGAAACTTCCTTCCCATATTATTTGACTCCAAACCTTCTGCTGTACCCAACAAACACACTGAAGGGTAGTGGTTAGAAGCTGCACCTGATCCCAGGTTCACTCTACATGTGTTTATGTATTTGTCTTTTTCTTCATTCACTTGTTGCCCATAGGCAGGGTCCCAGCACCAAGACCTGTGGTTCCTGGTATGAGAGAACTGACAATTTGGGTTAAGAATAAAGAGCCTTGAGGTATTGGCACCTAAAAATACTGCTGAAAATCTGTTACCTAGCAGACCAGAGGTAGAAGTAATGGCAAATCGTCAGGCACAGACACCTTCAGGCACACCACTGGGTGTGATCAGGCACCAGAGAGCTTTCTGAGCATATTACCTAGGTTTGTTGGAGGGGTGTCACAGATGAATGGACTCTCTAAAATTCCTCCACGCAAAATGGAACATTCATCCTAAGTTAACCTTGTCTTCCTCCTAGTGAGTTCAGGAACACCAGGTAAGTGCTCCTAACAGAGGGAAGAATGCTGAGACTCACTGAGTGAAGACGCAAGAACAGACCATACACAAGCATTCATATATCTGCCCTCTCCTCAGCTTGATCCCACATCCCACATACATTGTGCTTACACCTGCCAGGGTGAAAGACCCTTTAGTACCCCTTTATTACTCAGACGTCCTCCAGTGCTGCTTGTTTCTAGAAGAGACAAGGCCTGTTATGTCTCAGGGTCATAATCTCTGCCTGTAGTTCTGGTTTAGTGCCATAATCAGAAGCTCTTATCCTTTTAAGATCTCAAAAGTCACTCCCTCACAAGTATCCAGTGGCACCTGTTTCCCTCTGGCTTCCCTACTCTCTCATTTATCGCAGGCAGGGCACTTATAATTTCCTGAACTTAATTGATTTGCCCTAGAACACAGCCTACTATGTGATCGTACTATTATGGTTTAAGTACACATAGCCATGAGTTGATAGAAATAAGTCCAGTTTGAAATACTATCTGCTACAATAGTACAAACACAGAATCCAAAGATTTAATACATATGTGCACCAAGGAATGTAAGCTACTTGATGGTTGTATATCGTGTTTTTAGTACACATTGTCATGAATTTCTAGAAGTAGGTCCTATCTGAAGGACTATATGGTCTAACAGTACAAACACAGAATCCAAAGATTTAATACATATGTGCACCAAGGATCATAAGGTATCTGTGAAGAATTTTTCATACAGGGTGAAATAACATTTGACATGCTAAGTCATAAAAATATATTGAAAATTTCACCTACTTCTTATACATTTTTAATGTTTACTAGAAAATTTAAAACTATATATAGGTTCATTTCCTTTCTGTATCGAGCTGCTAACTGTAATGTCATATATAAGACTTAGTCACCAAAATCTTTTTCTAAGTTCTAGAGAACCAGGCCCAAGGAAAAGTTCTAGAAAGTTCATTTACAGAGTACTCTGACTGATACCTGTTAGTTGTATAGAGGAAATCATTTGTTCTTTTCCAAATAAAGGTTAATTCCATGCATTTGGCAAAGAAGTTACCCAGGAAAGGGCACTGGTTGTCTCTGGAACCACTGAAATAACATCCTTGAACTGGGGATTTCCTTTATTGGTATTATGTCTGCCCCTGACCTGCAAAGACCTCAGGAAGCAAAGCTGACATTTTTTTATCTCTTAGGAAGAACTTAACCTCAAAACCACATGCCTTTCAAAGCCGGAAGGGTAAGGACTTATTTGTGGAGACAAAGGTGACATTGATTTATGAGATCTTAGCTGGAAGACTCATAGGGAGGAAGATTAGGGAGAAGATATAAATGGCAGTGGAAAAAGAAAAGACACAAGAGAAGGTGTCAAGATTGGAGAAAGGAGATCCCAGAGGTGGAAGAAGAGGAGAATCAAAGAAGGGTTGGTAAGACTGAGTAAAGGAAGATCTAGGGATGGGGCCAGTCTGGGTGGAGTGAGGAGGACCTGGGCAATTGACTCTGCAGGTTAAAAAGTTAGGCAGCACACCAAGAACACTCTGGATTCCTCTGTTCCTCTGCAGCTCCACTGTAATCAACCATGGCCAGCAACCAGAGCCTCTCATTGTCCCTGTGGGCTGCTCTAGCCCTGACACTGGTCATAGCTGCATGTCCTGTAACCAGTACTAATCCTGAGGCCAACCAGAAGGCAGTGGGAGGTGTGGAGCCTGCTGACCCGAATGATGAGGAGGTGCAGAAAGCGGTGGACTTTGCTGTTGAAACCTACAATGATTTGACCAATGGCGTGTACGTTAGCAAGCCAATACAACTGATGAGTGCCAGTCAGCAGGTGGGTCTCTGGCCAAGGGTAGTGGGATGAGTCTGTCCTTTACAGTGTTTGCTGGTATCCCCTATCACTCCCTTATTATCCCACATAGCCTTAACTTCTGTGTCTCTCCAAGAGACAATAATCTTCACTGTAGGGGGTACAAATTGAACCATAACATGAATCTATTCTTTCTTGTTACTCAAACCATAGTCTAAGCAAGTATCTGCAATTCTATAACCTTCCATGATAATGTTTAGAATTGTCCCTCTACATTAGCTAGAAATCCATCTAGAGATTTGTGGTTAATTATCTATTGCCTCATTTTGCTTCCCAGTTCCACCTGGCCAGAAGCACAAAGGCTATCAGAATCTGCCATAACTGTTGACATCAATTCTTTGTGGTCAGTGGATAATACAATCTAAATGAGTACAGGAAAAGAAAATAGATCCCTCTGAAAGCTCTCTATGACTGAGTTTTAAATTTTTAAGTGTCTTTTCTTATATAATATTAAAAGAAAATTTAAAATTTTTAAGTTATTTGTGTGTTGTATGTGTATGACCTGTGTGTTTTAGAGCGAGAGAGAGAAAGAGAGAGAGAGAGAGAGAGAGAGAGAGAGAGAGAAACCACCTGTGAGAACCAGAAAAGAGCAGGAATTACAAATGGTTAGAAGCTGCTTTATTGGTACCAAGGATCATACTTAAGTCCTCCTGAATTCTCTCCAGCCATGTTCTCTTCCTTCTTCATTAGTGCACAATTTTAACACACACACACACACACACACACACACACACACACACAGACTTTGTGTTGCTGCAAGGGCAAATTTTCAGAGAAGCACAGTTTCCATGCAGTTCCTTCACCCCTATGTTATATTCAGCCATACTTGGTCCATACTTAACATTGTCTCAAGGGTGTGTGTACTGGAGTGTGTGATTATGAGCATTTAGTTTTTAATGCATTGAAAGTAAATACTCCCTTCAGTGAACAGTTCTTGCAAGTAATGGCATCCTATACAAGATTCCATCTACAAAATCAGGAATCAACAGACAAATTCAGTTACCTCACTTACAGATTCATTCTGTTACTGGTGTGATGATTGACATCCCCAGTTTGGGCTGATATCCTCATCCAATTACCTAGGTATCTTCCTTCTCTCTGATAGTCTCTACTCAGCTTCCCTGACCTTGAAATATGGAAGGATCCATTCAGATGTAGCAAACAGTCGTGTTCTGCTCAATGAGATCTTGCTCAGTCATATGCTCTGTATACAATGCTATGGCCCAGGAGCACTCTAGCCATTTTAGCTTGTGTACATCTTTAGGATGCTCCACGGTATAATCCTATGAGTACACATATCTCAGGAGTTCCTATCTCCAAGGAATACATGATGCTGTTGACTGGTGCTCAGTCTGGATGCTCTAATGTTTCCTCAAAGTTAATATCAGTCACCAGGCAGGAACTCTCCTAAATCTATTAGGCAAATACCTTCTAACTGTCATAAGTCTTGTTGCTGTGTACATGGTAGTCCTGAGTATCTTGGGGAGGAACACTGGAGTTGGTGCCATTATCTCAATATGGCAATATTACCAATACCCCAGACATTGCCTCCCTCTATATAAAGAGTACCTTCTTGGATTCTGCCTCTATAGCCTGGAATTATCCCTCATCATGTAGAGCAGTTACCAAGATTAGACAAGATCAGAGACAGCATTAAAACCTACTTTTTTTTTGGTTTTTTTGAGACAGGGTTTCTCTGTAGCTTTGGAGCCTACCTGGAACTTGAACTTGTAGACCGGGCTGGTCTCAAACTCACAGAGGTCTGGTTCAGCTTAAAAGGATGGCTGGTGATTATGTGGGATATATTTTGTCTAATTTCAGTGAGTCCATAGCAACGTAGCCTAACATGATCCACACACATATGTGTAAATCTCATTTTTCTTCCATCTTGAACATTCAGGTGACTCAAGATCAGCCCTACTTTTCTTCCTTCCACCAGTTAGTATCACAAACTTTGACATATTATGTCCTTCCAAGGTTTACGGTCCCTCTTGGATGATTCCATTGTATAATGCCATTGGGGAAATGTAGGAGAGGTATAGACCATAGACTCTGTGGATCCAGCTTCACAGGAGAGGAATACAAGAAGAGAAACATTGAGAACCTTGTTCCTGGTTGTTCAAGGCAAGAACTAGAGCTCTGTTTCCAGGTACCTAACCTCTTGATTCATTCCCTCCCTGACAAGTTTCATCTGGGATGCCTAGTACAAGGAATGGGTAAAACTCATCTCTAATTACACACAAATGGAAGATTGTTCAAGATGTCACTACAATAACATCATCATAGACAATCACACTAAAAGATAGGGCAGTTTGGGCCACTTTCCTTTTGACTTAAGCCATCTTCATGTGCAAACATCCCACATTTCCCTACCGTGTAAAGGAACAAGTCTTGATAACTACTTGTAAATGGAGAAAATAGACATCCTATGGGATGTGCGCTGTGGTGAGGATAAAATTGAATGTAAGTCATCAACCTAAAGTCTCTCTAGAGTTTACCACTATCATTGCCTCCATAGTCACAGTCAGTGGGGTTGAGTTGGTCTTTTGTTTGTTCTTAGAGCAACCTTGGGATTGGTTATCACCCCTGGCTGTCTCCCAAGAACTTGTCTTCACTTTTTGAGCCCACTGAAGCAATGGTCATTCTTTGGCCTCTGCTTTCCATTTTCGGATACTGCTTTCTCAGAAGCACAATGTACCCTCTAACACTTGATCAGAAGGAAACAGGTGCAATTCAGGCCTGTGCTCCTCTATTGAAAGGAACCTAGCGTGTGATAGTTCTAGGAGTTCATGGATGGAGCTATAAACACATTAACTCTGTAATCTAAACTGAATGCACGCCTATGAACTTGACTAGTGAAGTATGTAATCCTGCTCTTTTCACTGTAGGTCGTGGGTGGGATGAACTTCTACTTGAAAATAAAGTTTGGACAAACCACATGTGCCAAAGCTCAGTTTGTTGATTTGGCTGATTGCCCCTTCAATGAACAGCCAGATCAGCAGGAGGTATGTACATGGACTAAAACCTGCAGGAGTTATCCTGCAGGCAGGGGTGTGTGCAAACTTGTAGATTTATGAGTGCACAGGCACCTGGAATAGTTTTTTGTGCAGTTGTGTAAGTATATGGCAAAAGAAAGGTGTATATGTGTATTTTCTGTAAGCATGCATTTGGTATGGGCATGATGGTTCATGAATAGGTGTATTTGGATGATGTGATGTCAGTTTATGATGATACAAATACGTGCTGATGTCCAGTGGTAGAGGAGTGGGTATATTTTCCATAATATTAATTCCATTGCTCAGTGAATTTTTCCTGGGAATTGGAGTGTTACCTCTTTTAGGAATGCTGCCTGCCGAAGTGATGGAGTCAGCTTCAGGGATAGTTTCTGAAGAGGAGGAACTTTACTCAGTCCCAGCCTGAGCCCCCTGCCCAGATAATACCGCAGGGACTATAGCCCTCTAGGTGAAATGCTCCAATGTTGTCGCTGATTCTCCTAGTCTCCCTAGGGATGAAGCTTGTTTTTGAAGTGTTATGGTTCTGGAGATAGCTACAAGCCTCTTGTCACCCCTCCCTTCACTCTGTCATTTTCAGAAGTGTTCTTCATACCCCTCATTCTTCCATTCATGACCCTCTTAGTGCTGGTCCGGGTTCTGGAGGTGAAGAAACCCAGAGACCCTGAGTCTTATTCTCTGGACTGACTCTGAGGATTCTGTGCCTCATCTTCAAGTTATTCCTTTGGGAAGGAGGATGCAGAATCCCATGAGCCACTAGAGTGAGGGACATATGTGTCTGAAGGACTGGAGGCAATGAGAGAAAGAATGAATGGACTCTGCAGAGTCAGTCTGAGTACACGGGGACTTAAGAGGATTCCCACTTCACCCTGACATCTCAACCGTTTCTTTTCACTGTAACCTAAACTGATTGTTCCTCACTCTCCCCTTTTGTAGAAAACTATCTGCAATTTCGAGATCAACACTGTGCCCTGGGAGAATGAGATCTCCATGACAAACTTCAGCTGTCTCAGTACCTGAGGATCTACACTGGGCTGCACTGGGCTGATTTCCCCCTACTCTAGCTTCTCCTTTAGTTCCCCTTTCCTCAGACAAGGATCTGAGCTCTGAGTGATGTCTCTTCAGAATGCAAAGATCAGTAGAACAGGATGCTGCAGCAGACCCTGCACACCTAAGTGGTTAATTTCTTGTTGATTTCTTTTACTGCTTTCCAAATGCACCACTGTGTAGCATTGCTTACACTTTTCTCAATAAAAGACTGCCCCAGCTCCTTCTGAGTTGTTGCTGTCCCAAGGCATCTGAGCAAGAAGAATGGAGCACTGAGAATATGGAGCTTCACACTCACACGTGCATATCACAAGTAACATGACCTTAGGGGACACACAGTTCTTGGAGTGCATACAGCAGAGATGAGCTTGCATCCCACTGTCTACTTGTTTATGGTTCCTGAGAGATGCAGATGGGGCTGGGAGAGGGATGATGAGCTGCTGTCATGCAACTTAGGAACCAGTCTTGGAAAGGAATCAAAAAGGAATCAGTGAGGTAAATGGTGGTTCTACGCTAGAGCCACCCTCATTTATGTGTGAATGACCCAATGAGAAAGATCATTGTCACACCTAAGATCTCCAGAGACTCTATACACAATGATTCCCATCCATTGCTGTCTATGATAGACCTAGGAATTTAAAAGAAGGAGAACTGGGAATTGTGTGTGTGTGTGTGTGTGTGAGTGTTTGTGTGTGTGTGTGTGTGTGTGTGTGTGTGTGTGCCTGTGTGTATGTACCTGATAAATAAAACACTTATCAGCTTGTGAAGTGGAGTGACATAACCCCAAAGCAAAACCCTGCCCCCGCCTTTATATTACGTGCTGCTGTGACATGTGAGGGTGTTAGGATGCTCTCAGGCCTTATTCTCTCCTGTTTATGAAAAAGGAAGAAACCCAAACTGCAAACCAGATGTTAGAAAAAAAAATGAAGTCAGAAAGTAATGAAATGTATAAATCAGGTTAATTCTTCAAAAAGATAAACAAAATTTGCAAATCCTTAGCCAAATAACCAAAAAAGAGAGAATGTGCAAACTGAGGAAGGCAGGTACAAACACGCTCCCAACAAAATTTAGAAGATCATTAGGGCATACCTTTAATACATATGGTTCAGTGAGTTGGAAAATCCAAAGAGAAAGACAAATGCATATATACATAAGAACTATCAATATTAAATGCAGAGAATATAAACAACACAAGCACATTTGTAACAAGCAGTGAAATGTGAAAGGCAATTTAAAAAACTGCCCAAACAAACAAGCAGACAAACCCAGGCCTTGATGTATTTTACTGCTAAATTCTACCAGAACGTTAAAGAAGAACTAACATGACTTTCCTCAAATTATTTCATAAACTATAAAGGGGTGGATTTGACCAGTTTGCCTTATGAAACCAGTATTGTACAAAATAAAACTAAACAAAGATTAACCAACAAGAAAAAAAGTGTGTAGGCTAATCTTTCTGATGAACACTGAAGTGAAAATTCTCATAAAACACAGGCAATATAAATTCAAAAAACACATCAGAAATCATTCATGACCTACCACCCCTTCCAGGCCCCTCCTGTGCTGCATTCACCCTCTTTACTCATCTATATTTCCCACCTCCTTCTCCAGGTTCTAGATTTTAGAGTCTCCTTGACCTCCTCATCCACACTTTATCCCAATCAACCATATTTAACCTGGGTCGCACACCAAGTATTGCTGCCTAGACTAACTTCTCCTGACTGTGCCACAAATGATCTCTCGGCTTCTGTCAGGATGCTACCTACCTACCATTCAACTCACAGGCTTCTCCCATGCTATATCTAACATTTCCCCACATCCAGCTTTGGACCAACAATTCATTTTGGACCAGGAAGCACATGCTGTACACCAGGCAAGCTCCTTCTATCTATTTTACTTCATTACACTCAAAGCATTTCCAATCTCCATGGGCATTGATATTTTGAAAAGAATGCTTTTAAATAGTAAAAGAGTAATAGCCTCAACTTCAAGCACAGAACTAAGATAATCTTTTATCCTATACTGTGTGGAATATACACGTAGACATTATAGGACTGCAAATTACAGATAAAGGGGACACCAGTGAGGACACAGGCTACAGAGATGTCAGGAAATGGCAGAAAATACTTCAGGAATGAATATGAACAGTAGAAGGATTGTGAATATCAAGTATCTTCTAGCATTTTAATAGGTTCACAGCGTATCACCAAAGATAACACTGAGTATCGCTTGATATTTGCATGGAAGTCTCAAAATGCTACCAATCATTGATTTTTGCTAAGAAATCTTTGAACCAATAAGGATATTATGCATTTTAGATTTTTTTAAATTTAAAACAGTAAATATTTTTTTCAATGCTAAGGATGAATTCCTGAGCATTGTACAAGTTAGACAAGTGCTTCTTTCCTTCTAAGTTCAAAGCCCAGCTCTTGTCATTTTGAGGCATGATCTCTGCTTTTGTAGCCCACTGGTTTGAACTGTTGATCTTCCTGCCTCTACTCCCTGAATTATGGGATTACAAGTGTGACCACACCTGGTGTTACATACAGTTGTGATGTTAAAAATACATTTGCATCATCTATAGAATCTACTCATGTGCAGGTATTAAACAAGCTTTGTGTCAAGGCATGAGGTGGGCTGACGGTGCCTGGTCTTCAAACCACTCACTGTAACTGTGTGGGCTCTGTGGAAATGACATAGAAAAGTCAGATCAGCTCTGCACTAGGGATGCTCTGGCAGCAGCAGTGATACAGCAGAGTCTCAGTTTATATAGCAAGTGATTAAATGTGCCAAGTTCCACTGTGTCTCCTGGCACATCTCTAGCCTGTGTGCCTCTGCTCTGTTTTGCTCTGACAGCTTACCTGCAGCTCCCTGCAAGGTTTGCCATCAGCCTTCTGAATTCCAGAGGCTCAGAGCCCACATCACCAGGACTGGCCAGTAGCCCTGCCTGAGGGTACAGAAGTAGGAAGGCACTCCTCTGACGGGCATTGCCTGAGGCCTGAGGAAGCAGCCAAACTCCTTAACAATCAGGCTGTTTCCGCAAGGCTGCCCAATGTCACCAGACTCGGTTCTTCTGCTCATACATCCTGCTTTCTCATCACTCTTCCCAGATTCTCATGGGACTTTCCTGAAGTCAATGGCTTGTGGGCAGAGGCTGTATCCACTTTAGCTCCTCCCAAGGAACCTGACCTCAAACTAGAGGGAAACACAGGATTAACAGCCAGAGAATAATTCACATTTGTAATCAAAAGTTACCACTATAGATAGCTTCTGCTCTGTTTTAGCTAATCCAAACTCTCTTGGGATAAGTCCAGTGTCTTATCCTTTTCTGGGAATCAAACAAGAGATTGGGGAAAGACGTCTGTTGGAGATGACTTGGGCATGTAGCATTGTGGGCCACTGTGTCTTGAGCTCAGATGAACAGAGGCAGACTCCCAAGAAGTCCTGACCACAGAGTCTGCACTTCTGATCTGCCACTTGAGAGTTCTAGTATTTTTTACCTTTGTGGACATTAGTCCTGAAGATAAACGTTATAAATATGCTCATACATGTTTAAATGTCTTATGAGCATGCACAACTTTAGTAGTAGCTCATCTGTATCTTAGCAAATCCAGGTTTAGGAAAGAAGACTGTATGAGGACATTTAAACCTTTGATTCGCCAACACTGCAAAACCTTTCAGCAATAATAACATTTTAGTGATAGAAATAAAGAGCAAATGATCTTTAAAAATTTGAAAGCTATCTTTTTAACATTTTGCAACATGTAAATTTGATAGTACATTTTACATTGATATTTTCAGGGGCTTGCGTGAGAAACAAGACTCATAGGTACAGAATGCTATTTGTAAAACAGTACTGAGGATGATTATTAATTTTAAAGTTTTTAAACCAACTTTCCAGCTATACAAAGATCATTATTATTTGATAAATTTAGCCTTCCACTTAATAAACTGATTTATTTTTTTTTTTATTTGTATCTGTGATTTTGTCTGCATGTGTATTTGTCCCAAGCTCAGAAGGGAACAACGGTATTTTCGATACCCTTGCAGAAGTATGTTGATGCCACTAAGCAAGTCTGAAGGAAAATATACTGAGGGTCCACTTGGTAACTTATAGGGATGTTTTATAGATTTTAAAGTATTCACCTAAAATCTCAGGTTATGGGAATCTAGATTTCTGGCCTTGGAAGAAGATGCTTGTATTTCACAGGTCCACTGGGTGGCAGTCTCCTCACGCTTATTGAAAAACTCAAGCTGAGGTCCAGGAAGGTTCTTAATGTCCTGCTTGCTGGATGATGTCCTTGTTCAGTGAGGAGCTGATGGTGACAACTGCTTCCATTTTATAAGTTTTTCTTTAAAGTCACATGGCAAAGCTTTACTTTATCGAACTCGTTCATTTCTCCACAAGTCCAGTGCAAAGCAGTGTTGACCTAACACATCCTTGCTCTTGTGCCCTGTTTCTAGTGATCTGAGGTGAAGTGGGTTTCAACAGTATATTCATGTTGATATAATAAAAAATAAGTGATCAGGCTGGCAGATTACGAATGAAAATTAAGATGAATCAAACCTCAAGGTTAACGTACAAAATATAAGTTAAGTTCAGTTATCTATCTAACTGTGGAGAATTGGAAGAATTAAAAGGCACACATGCTCAGGTGGATAATCTTACACTCTCTTAGGTCATAGAGAACAAGACTATTAAGCATGATGATTCATAACGTCACTAATAAATAGTCAAAGGAATCAATAATGAGATCTTAACCCTAGGGTGTGACCTGAGTAAATCCGGGGACGTTGAGCTGACCTCCTAGCTGCTCCATCCTGTGAGCGTTTGACTCTTCACACATTCAACAGGGCTTCTTTAACACAAAAACAACAAAAACTTAAAGGTCTTCTTTCCTTTTTTAATGACATTCAAAATTCCAAAGAAATAACACACTACTAACCCTGACTAAAGATTGTCACATGTCCCCAAGGTTTAGGACTTCCAGAAGGCCACTACTCTCTTGGTATCTTCATAGTCACACCCAAACAGGTAGGTACAGACACGGCAAAATATAGGGACTCACTCTTGTTTCTGAACAACATCAGCCCACATATGCCTGTTCCGTTGCCATGACTTCACATGGATGTATTGAAGGCTGCGCATGTGAGGGAGTTTCAATCTAATATGTTCCTCTAAGCCTTTGCACTTTGTTTGGATCTTCAGGCTTTTTGAAAC